CCAGGGGGTGTATTGAGACGGCAAGAATGAGAGCCGATGAGCTCTGTAACGGTGTACTTGGCATTGAGCCAGTCAAGCTTCTTCGAAGGCCTCTGGGTCTTGATGTTCTTCAGGTGCAGCCAGACCTTGTCTCCCACACGGAATTGCTCAGCTGCCTGTCTGCCTCGGTTCGCGTACTTTTCTTGCTGTTCCTGTGCAGCAGCCATCGCAGCCTGTGCAAACATCGTTGCCTCCTTAAGTCGTGCCACGAAGGCCTCGCCCCGGGCGACTGGGGAGGTTCCAGAAGTCCGCAAGTCGGCTTCCCCTTTTGTCAGGGCAAGGAGGTCCACATCGTAGCCGTGTGTCATAAAGAACGGGCTTAAGCCAGTAGATGTGGCAACTCTGTTGTTGATAGCCAGCATTGCTGCAGGTAGGAGGCTGGCCCAATCGTCTTGGCAATACGTTGTAAAGCAGCGTAGGTAGCGCCCCATCACTTGGTTTGCGCGTTCGGTTGCACCGTCAGTCTCAAGGTGGAAGGCGGTTGACAATCGCCGGGTGATCTTGAGCAACTCGCAAATCCGTTTCCAAACCAGGCTTACAAACTGGGGGCCTCGATCGAATACAATTGCAGAGGGGAGCCCATGGTAGCGAATAAGGCAGTGCAATAGCCGATCGGCTACCGCTTCCACTGTCGTGACAGCCATAGCCTCGAAGATCACGCTCTTCGACAACCGGTCAGTGATGACCATGATGCTGTTAGCCTTGTCAGGGCCAGATAGAGGCAACCTAGTGACAAAGTCGACAGATATCTCGCTCCAGACTCGCTCTGGGATCGGTAGCGGCTTCAACAGGCCTCGCTTCTTCTCTCGCCATACCGCTGTTCGCCCGCACACATCACAGTTCCTGATGAACTGCCTGACATCCTGACTAAGACCGATCCACATGAAGTTCCGGGAGATCAGGAACTTGGTAAGGTCCCTTCCTGGGTGGCCGGCGAGCGTTGAATCGTGAGTCTCCTGGATGACCCGGGTGCGCAAGGGTTCGAAGAACGGTAGCCAGATACGGTCCCTCCAACAGAGTCGGCCTCCCTCGTCGATCGAGCACTCCGAGATGGAGATAGGGAGCCCCCATTGCTTAGGGAACTGCCTTGCGCCCTCCTTAACTAGTTGGCGGATCAACCAATACCTGTTGTTTGCCTGCAGTGCCTGTTCCCACAACTCCCTTAGAGGGTTCTCCGC